TTTTTCTTGCAGATTGTGAAAACTGTTCAGAGTGGAAAATTGATAGAAATGTTGAACAAAAAACAAATACAAGTCGATTATGCTTTTTATTAGAGTCTCAAACATGTAGCAATCCTTTTCTTTCATCAAATGACGAGCGTAGATATCGTCTAGTAAATGTATCTTGCTCCACCCCAACCCCAACTACAGCTCCTCTTATAGGTTATTTCTAATTTTTAAATTTATATATTTTTCTTATTTGTTTTCATTTCAAATTTTAAAAATATTTTTTCAGAAATTTAAATATTTTAGAATCAACAAGCGTCTCCAGTCTCCATTATAATACTACATCAGTTTTTACTGAACCAACTGTAGTTGCTGTTCAAAAGCCGCCTGGTAATTTTTATTTATGCAGTAAATTATGTGAATAATTGAAAAATGTTAGTTTTATATACATTAATAAATTGTTATTGAATAATATTTTGCAATTCTCCTCAGGATTGCAACATATTTGGTGTCTTCTATATTTTTAACATTTTGTCAACATTTTTTGCCATAAAAACATATTTTATGTAAATTTATTTTTATGCTTTTATAGTTGAGCTCATGTTATTTAAATCTTCAAGGGGTCTCAAAATATGGTAAATAACTTTTAAACTATAGGAGTTCAAATCAAAATATTAAACGCTAAAAGGATGGAAAAATTTTACAAATAATGATCTTTTAAGTTATAGGTGTTTTTAATTACAAGAGTTTAACTGTTTGTTTAACAACTTTTATTATTTTTTTTTTCTTTTTGATTGATCTTTTAAAAGAGATTTTTTTTTTTTTTTTTAATGATTGAAAAAGATGTTTGATTTATACTTTTCTAACCAAATTCTAATGAGAGTCTTCAAAATAATAAAGTTTAAATAACGTTTGATTCCAGGCAAATAATTAGTCTTGTTGGAAGCTTTTTAAAGTTAATTAGCTTATTATCATTATTATCATCATTATTATAATATTTATATCATTTATCATAAAAAACAAAGCAGACAAACTGTTTTATTTATAAATATTCAAAGATAGAATTAGATTTTAATGTTGAAATAAATATTGAAAGAATGTTATTAAATACTTTATACTTGATTAGAAGTGTATTGTGAAGTTTTTGTTCTTGATTAGAAGTGTATTGTGAAGTTTTTGTTCTTGATTAGAAGTGTATTGTGAAATTTTTGTTCTTGATTAGAAGTGTATTGTCAAGTTTTTGTTCTTGATTAGAAGTTTATTTTGTGTATTGAAAGTTAATTTGATCAAAAATCACATAGTAACAACAGCAATTAAACAATTAAATGCGTAGCTCTCTGTACTTGCAGTGGTACCTTTGCTAAGCAACTAAAAAACAACAACTTATTCATATAATAACGCTAAGCAACTAAAAAACAACAACTTATTCATATTTTTATTATTACGGGTTAATGTATAGTTTCAAGTGTATTAGGAAAAATTATAAAAAGATATAACATTAGATTCAATTGAATCACATAATCAAGTTATAAGTAACAATTTATACTTTTTCTAAAACGAACCTCATTACATTTAGAGGCACTGCCCGAATCACAAGTAGATTCTATCTTTGATTAGGCAGACAGAAAACATCGTAAGCACTGAAAAACTGTTTTCTTTTGACATTTTGCAACTTATGAGACAATAATGCATGGGATATATATAAGTGTGTATATATCCTCTTGCTTGGGATATATATAAGTGTGTAAAAAGCTCGTTCGCAGAACCAACAATTGATTCTCTAATCACGAATAACCCCTGCATCTCACTCCACCAAGCTATCTTCAACTCTTTCACCAAAAAAATTGCTGGATACCAACTGATTAGAACAAGAAAATAGCCACTCTCTAACAAACTGCAAAACAAACTCTGAAAAACTGTGCAAACAAAACAATGTCTTTAAAACAAATTTTGGAATAATTAACAACCAAGCCATTCCAAGCAATCTAAATAAAGATTTTTAAATGCACTCAAATTGAAGACATAATATTGCTCTTTATAATCAGTGGAGTGGTGCAAGAAAATTAATAGCATTTCCCTTATAACTTTGACAATATAAATGTAGCATGGAATCAGAAGATGGAATTGTTTTAGTTATCCAAATTGCTCAACCATCAATTGTAGCTACAACCCACCAAAAATTTCCAGGTGCAACACTGTAAATAAAAGAATTCCAGGTTCAAATAAAGTCTTCAAAGAGAAACAGCAACCATCCTACCCATTGTAAAGGAATCCAAACAACAGGTTGAAACCTTTGAACAAGCGAAGGACAGGTGATCTGCAATAGATGCCTAAAGGACAGACACATTCAGAGGTCATATTAGGAGCAAACTTTGTTGCAAAAAAAAAAAACACAAAATAATTCTTTCCTAAGTAGACAAGTCTCTGACAACAAATCAAGAAATATTCCTTACTCTGAAAACCGTTGACAAAACTTTGCTGGAAACACACTGGAATTTTATGCAGTTTAAAAAGATCTATGTTTTAAATGTGGGGAGAAATTTGTAGCAAACCTTTTCTTATCCTTATGGATACAGGAGTAAGGTGTAGTGTAATTGACTTGATCATTTATAAACGTATAAGAGATCACATTGCTGAAACTTTACCTTATTAGGGTAGATTAAATTAGAAAATAGAACTCTACTTCATATTGTAGGACAGGTTTTGAGCAATACTGACATAAGAAAAAACATGTTTAAACACCAAGTTATGGTTGGTTAAAATTTGATATGTTTTGTAATTTTAGGCTATTAAATTTTGACATTTTTGGTAATTTTAGGCTGCCTAAAATTCGGTAATTTTAGGCTATGATTTTATATTCAGTATAACGTTGGACTTGACTGTGGGCAACACTTGGTAGAATTTGGACAAAAATTCATTGTCCCAATTATTAAAAAGACAATTCATGATAAGTTCACTATTACAATTAGTGGCAACCAGTATGGAAATATGCTGAAAAATAAAACAGTTAATGTTTTTCCTTCCTTTGACTCCCTTTCCTTATTAAATTCTTGCAAATATAAGCTTGAGCACACCTAGGGTTGTCAGATCTCTAGCTTTTACAAATGAAAACACAGTAAAAAAATTCATTTTTACAGTTTTTTTTTTCTTTTTGGTAATTCACCTCCTCAAAGCAGAGAAGGCCACTACAGATGAGGAGGCTACTTGTGGTTATAACCCTTTCTCAACTCTATAACTCCAAAACAGGAACCTTGACGAACAAGGCCGCTGCGCTGAGAAACAAGTTGAGCGCGGTACTACCAGGGACGTGGTGATAATGGAACTCGGAACCTCTTGTTTATGAAGCGAGCGCTCTACCACTACACCACTACCGCATGGGTTTGACACTGTATTCTCTACCAAAAAAGTTTAACATCTGTCAACCCAAAGCACTCCTAGCTTGAGACAAAAATTATTATTCAACTACCCAAATTGCTGGTCATACCTTCTACACCTGTTTCACTTGACCTGCATTGACATGTTCCTAATAGCTACTATCAAATTTCTTCAAATATATTACATCAAACAGAAAAAGAAAATCATTTTTAATATAACCGAAAGAATACTGCTGAAAAAAATATGATATATTTAAAAGATAAAGGACAGCCCATAAATAGAATGGTATCAAGACTGATTCCTAATATAAATAAATTATAGAAATTAGTTCTTCTTATTATGTTATCATGTGTGATCCTTTTACCAGCATTTTCTACAAGACTATTTACACGTGAAATTCTAGATTGCACTACAGGAGAACCAATAAGAACTAAAACTTTAACCAATAACCACTAAAATTTTCTTTATCAATAACATGTAATGACAATATCTCCAAAATGGAATAAATACCGTTCGTGTAACTTTAAATGCTCAACTTGCAAGCATGACTTTAATGGTAGTGGCAAAAACCAATAGAGTTCATTCAGGAATTGGGTCAATAGAATTCATCCATTGGTTCTTAATTCGTGGATGAAGATGGGAAACAGCTTCAACCATCTCGAGTTTCCTACAGTGAAACTTTGTACTGTAGTGCACCTTACTGAGTCTTTTTTTAATGCTGTTTTGCAATCATGAACTTTATGACATTGTTTAATGATGGTACTGAAAAATGAGTTTCATGAACTTTATTTTATCATGATACTGAGTTTTATGATACTATTTTGCAATGATGAGTATTATGATGTTGATTTATGATGATACTAATTTTTTTTTTATGATACTGTTTAACAATGGTAAGTTTTATTTGTTTTACAAAGAAGTTATGTTTTAAATTTTATTTTAAGGTGATAATAAGTTTTGACGATGATATTTCAAAAAGATGTCTTATATGAAGTTGTTTTAAACTGATAATATGTTTCCATTATGTTATTTTATAAAGATTTTGAGTTTTATGACAATGTTGTTTCAAGATGGTAATTAATTTTGGTGACATGAATGTTTTTAAACAAAAAAACAAGTAAATGGTCTTTCAAGCATAAACCATTTAAATGTTCATAAAATAATATAAATGTAGAGCAGAACACATGGTGAAAACAGATTAGTATACGACAAACAATTAAAATGTTTATGTTAACACAGACAAACAGCAGTAACAACACTAGTCAACTAAAAAATTTGATTCATTTTATTATTACATGTTAATGTATAGTTTAAAATTTATTACAAAAAAATATAAAAAGATATTAACATTAAAGAGTCCTGTATAAAATACTAATTTAAAAAAATGATAACAAGTATAACAATAATGTAATAAATATAATAATAATAATAAGAAAAAAAAGGTAATATTTGTTTGACATTTTGAATTTTTAATCTAGCTGAAAATGCTGGTACTACAACCTATGTAGTATTAGTTGTGTCGTCATTAGTTGCTTTGGTTATTGGTATTGGAATTGGTGCTCTAGGCTTTAAAAAAATTCACAAGAAAAAGTGTAATGCAGTTGATAGTTTCAATAAAATTTGCTATGAAAAGAAAACAGGTGGGATATTTTTACAATTTTACTTCACAGGTTAGCAAAGTTCTCACTATATCATTCTTTTAAATTTTGTAGTTTTAGCTTTAAATATTAAAATATAGAAAGGCAGTGGAGAAAATAAATCTAGTAAGTGATTTTGGTGATACTTGTTAGCAGCCTAAACAGGGTTGGCAAAAACCCGGGTTTTTTTAAAAAAACCCGGCCCAGTGGGTTTTTTTGGGTTTTATTGGGTAAATTTGGGTTTTTTTGGGTTTAATTTTTATTTTGTCTCTGTAAAAATTTTTTTGTGTTTTTGTTTAATGATATTGAAAGTTAGTTTTTTTCTACTTTAACTTTATTTAAAATATATTTAATATATTGTTGTTTAATTATTTATAACAAGAATTTTTCAAATTATTTTGAAAAAGATTTTTAAATATAATTTAAAACTGTAATAGAAAAAAAAAATTTCACGCTTAATCTATATGTATTGATTTATTTTAAATTTAAAAGTATTATTCTATATAATTAAAAATGTCAATGAGAAAATGTGAAAAAGAAGGCTTGAGAATGGGAGGTAGTAACTGAAGTTTCAATTAAACTTTGAACTTGAAATTCAAATGAACAAACTTGTTCCTCTGCGCAGCAGCCTTGTTTATAAAGATTCATGTGTAGGAGTTAAAGAGTTTTTGTTTTTTTTTAAATCAATTTACCTCCTCAAAGCTTATGGTCACTACAGGCGAGGGGGCTACTTATTTGTGGTTATAACCCTCTCTTAACTCTATAATTCCGAAACACGAACCTTGACGAACAAGGCCGCTGCGCGGATAAAGGAGTTGAGCGCGGTGCTGCCAGGGACGTGGTGGGGATTGAACTCAGAACCTCTCACTTATGAAGTGAGCGCTCTACCACAACACCACTACCGCAAAAGAGTTGAGAGAGGGTTGTAACCACAACAAGGTAGCCTCCTCAACTGTTGTGTTGGCTTTTCTGGTCACTACTACTCATTTAAATTTAACTTGGGAAGTGAACAACATAAAGTAATAAAAATCTCAATCGATAAAAATATTTGAATAAAAATTGTAATAATGTATTTCCAAATAATGATTCAAATAATAGTAAACCTGCTCTGATAGCTGTTATTGTTGGTTATAATAGTTAATAATAATAGTTAATAATAATTTAGTTAATAATATTAGTTAATAATTATTTTAGTTAATTATATTATAGTTATAATGTTAAAGTTGGTTATAATAGTTCATAAACTTATTAAATATCTTTAAAAAAACCCAATAAAACCCAGATTTTCCAGGGTTTTATTGGGTTTTTTTAGGCGGGTTTTTTTGGGCTTTATTGGGCGGGTTTTTTTGGGCGAGTTTTTTAATGCCAACCCTGAGCCTAAATAAATTGCTGATTATTGTCAACACTTGTCAATAATGTATTTTCTAGAACTAATTCAAATCTTGATTGATGATGATCACAATAAAAATAACAATAAGTTTAAATAAGTTTTTTTAATAGTACTATTACCAAAAGTATTTTAAAACTTTGGCATATAAAATTCGCCAAGTGGTCACACACAAAGTTTTTAAAGAAAAACCAAACAAAATAGGAAATTTAAAATTTTAAGTTAAATTTTTTTTTTAAGTGAATCACACCAAATGACAAATGGTGGATAAATGTTTTTTTTTTTTTTTTTTTTTTAAAAAAATCCTGTTTTCAGTATTGAATTAGAAATAGAGTATTGTTCAGTATAGATAGATTTACAACTTAAGCACACAAAGAACACTATTATAGGGTGGCCACTGGACATGGAAATCATGAAGATATCATGGAATTTCATTTGGTCATGGAAAAAGTCATGGAATTCCTAAATTTTCATGGAAAGTCATGGAAAATTCATGGAACTTTTTAAAATTATCTTTACTTTTTTCTACTTGTGATATTTTTAGGATGTTAAAAAAAGTACTAGTATGTCTAGTCTCTATTTATCACCATTCTATTTATCTATTTATCTCAATATTTTTGAATCATATTTAATTTCTAGCTATTTTTGCAGTGTAAGTTATTAGAGAAGTAAAAAAGAAAAAGAGTTTTTTAGACATGATTTCAGGACTTTCTACCTATTAGTTTATGGTTCGCATGTTTTATAATGACCAAGTTGCAAGTGCTTAATTTTACTCTAATGATTTATCATAGAAGTTTATGAAGAGTCATGGAAAAGTCATGAAAAAGTCATGGAATTTCATTTTCAAAGTTGAGTGGCCACCCTGTAATACCATTGTCTCAAATAATGGTATAAGTGTTGGAAATATTGCAGAACTAAGGGTTTAGAATGTAACACCCCAAAAGAGAAGCGTTTGAATTAAAAGAAAATTAGAGACGACTGCAAGTAAGTTTAAAACCTCAATTTTCTGTTTATAAACAAGTTCAATAATGAGACCACTGTTTTTAAGACAACTATTACATGCTCTTAATATCTTTTAGATTTTAAATGCTTTTAGAATGTCAGAAAGTGATCGCATTGAGGTATTTATTTTATTTAAATTTTGTAATTATGAAGATAAAGATGCCGAAGATTATTTTTAAGCTTCTAAGAAATCCGTGGCTTTAGTAAGGAGAATATCAAATAAAAAAGATTTCCAAGGTCCAAAAAAACCAGGTCTGACAAATATTACAATAATAATAGTTCAGAAAAGACAAGAGTATGTAAGAAAGCTTTTATATCTATTCATGACATAACAAATGATAGAATCAAACAATGAAAAAATGCAAGGGAATGCAAAACCAGTTTCTATTATTTGTACTGTTTTAGAATATATACATTCATGCTCAACAAAATCAAGTCATTATCTTTTATAATAATATGGAATATCTCAACAAATAACAAAATACTCGAATAATGCACAATCAATACAAAATTAAGTACTCTGAAAATCCTCACAAAGTATGCATACTACCACAAAACATTCAAACAACATTTTTATTTGTCATTTGGAAGACCTCAAGTAGATACCTGTTGCACATGCAAATATTTAATGAAAATATTAAAATAAAAATTTGAATGATAATGCAAAACATAAAGTCATTGAAGAATGTTCATAAGATAAGAGCTAAAAAAATTTTTGTCATTTATTTGTCATTTAAATTTCTATAACTTCTTTTTGCTAAATATTCTAGTTCAAGAAGTATTCAATTTTTGACAGTTGATTGAGAATGTTTTCAATATTCATAATCTTAAAGGTTCTTAATGCAAATTCTATGTTTACCATGAAGAAGAAACCAGGAAAAGTCCCTATCAAGTCTGCAGTTTTATCATGAATTACATAGAAAATAAGATGCAAAACATAGTATTTTTGAATTAAAAAATCCTCAGTATCAAAAAAAAAAATCCCGAAAAATAAATACAGCAAAGAAAATATTGAAAATTCTTTGAAACATCATGGAAAGCAAAGAATATTCTTAAAAATGTGTTAAATAGCAAAGTTGACATTTTCAGCTTGATGAAAATAAAAACAAAAGTTTGATAGAAATTAAAGTGAAAACATGGAAGCTTAAGGCCAACAGCTTTATCTGTGTTTGCCTATTCATTCAATTCAACGTTTCAGTGATTTGGGTTTGGTTTTAGGCTAATATACTTTTTTTTAATTATTTAATCCTATTTGAAAAACACAAACCAAGAGTATTATTTTAAATATATCGTTTACCACAATAGTAAAATGATTTTACTATTGAATACAGATTATACAAGATAACATTGCCTCAAACTGTCATCACATATAATTGACAATTATTTTAATAAACTACATTATACATGCCAAAATTGAAATCTTCATTTGGAGATATCACAATACTAGTTTTAGTGGTAACCATGGAAAAATTTTAATTTTATACCCAAATAATAAGTACTTTAGACAATAAGTACTGTTGCAACAATACTAGTTTAATAAGTACTATTGAACTTATTAGCAACATTTGAAAAAATAGTTATACTATAATAAATATACAAATTATTATAATAATATATTAATTATGTATGTTTAAAAATTAAATATAATTTATTATAATATATTTATTATTTATAAAATAATTATAGATTTTATAAAAATTATTTATTAACAACTCACCAATGGGTAAGGTTTTTTGTTATTTATAAATCAAAAAGATACTTATATTAATTATGATGCAAAGCTTGTCAAACTGACACAGTATATAAAAGACCAGATTTAGGATTCATGGTGAAATAGTTATTTGTTCAATGGTTAGAACAACAGTTAAAGCAGTTTGAGAAAAATACCTTGTTAAATTAGATGGTCACACCACTCATGTTTCATTAAAAGTTATTTGATTATGTAAATGAATTACCCTGCAATTGGTCTGTCTATTGTTAATATACATATTCCAATATCCAGTGGTTTTAAATATTCCAGTGGATATTGGAATATGTACAATCCAATATCTAGTGGAATATGTACATCCACTGGATATTGGAATGTTGTACATATTCCAATATCTAGTGGTTTCTAAGTTATGTTTTGCAAACAATCTATATAGAAATATAGTTTTGTTAAAGATACCTGGAAAAAGGTATTAAAATCATATTATGAATTATGAAAATGCAAAAATTTTGATAAAGCTAGTTTTCCAAGTTTATTAGAATTTCTCAAAAAAACATTTCTGCAACAAACAGGATTGGGAAAAACCCGGCCCAGTGGGTTTTTTTGGGTTTTATTGGGTAAGTTTTTTTCGGTTTTTTTGAATTTCATATCTGATAAATTTGTTTTGTTTTTTGTTTAATGATATTAAAAATAATGTAATTTTCTACTTTAACTTTATTTAAAATATATTTATATTTAAATATAATGTTATTTAATAATTTATAAAAAGAAATTTTTAAATTATTTTGAAAAAGATTTATAAACAATTTAAAGTTGTAATGAAAAAAATTAATTTCATGTTAAATCTATATGTATTGGTTTATTTTAAACTTGCTTTTCTGCGCATTGGCCTTGTTCATAAAGGTT